GGAAAAAGGAAAACTGATAAAACTTCTATCAAACTCTCTTATGGGATTGTTTAAGATTGGCGAGCCCAAGAATTTTCTTGCTTAGGAAGTCATAAAATAGATTGGGTAAAATTTGTTTAGTAAATATCAAATATGTGATTCAAATATTTCAAGCAAGCCTTAACTCTTAACTGTAACATGTTTATTCAATTAGTAATGTGTTTTTCAGCACAAAATATTTACGGGTGAACACGTTCTATTTACAGGTGATCGAGACTCAAGCGGCAGTACATCGATGTATTGCTACCATAGATTTTCTGGCGGAAAAACTAAGACCTTACCCTCCAACTGTCAATGATGAATCAATGTATGAACATGTGAAAAAGGTTGGAGAATCTTTGCTTGGGAAATCGAATGTACTCCTCAGTCCAATGGTTATTGGAGCAGAAGATTTCAGTTTCTATTCAAAGAAGATGGCGGCTGCTTTCTTCATGATAGGAACAAATAACGAAACACAAAAACCAATCATTCGATTGCACTCACCCTACTTGATTATTGATGAGGAGGTTTTTCCCATAGGAGCAGCCTTCCATGCTGCAGTGGCCATATCTTATTTGGATAATCATACTGTACTTAAAGCTCAGTAAGTATTGTAACTAACTTTCTATTCTTGGGATGAAGATTCTGTTAAGTTACTAATGTTTGCTTGAAGTCAACAAGTCAAAGTATTTGAATGCATTTTGCTTTGTTGTACTGGTATTTTGTAATTATGCTTGTTGCCATCTCTTATTGCACGTGTACCTTAGACAATCTTCTTTTCATTCTCTTGAGTTCTTAGTGGCCTTCTATAGCCCTTCTTTTCAAGTTAAGTCCACTGTCACAATGATAACATGTAATATAGCCCAACAGCCTCCTACAGTCTTTGATGGCTTGAATTATGGTGTATTTGAAAAAAACGGAATGCTCTTGAAGAAAATTGTTGGTTTAAACCTGATGCTTAGTGTAAGATATGTAATCAACTTGGTCATGTTGACAAGGTTTGTACAAATGAGCCAACTATTCAAGAAAAAACTCCACAAATGACTAACAAAGTTGTAATAGCAAAAAAAAAACCTCTATTCATGGCTTCAACTAGTTCTCAGTGCAAGATTGATAATGATGAATGGCTTCTTGACAACGAATGATCTAACCATATGACTCCCTCTAAAGCTAAGTTTATCAGTTTGGACAAAGATTATAAGTCAAGAGTAAAAATAGGTAATGGAGTTTATCTTCATACAATAGGTAAAGGTATTAGAATAGTAAAATCTCTATCAGGGTTTAGATATATTTTTGAAGTTCTCTTAGTTCTTTATATAACTCAAAATCTATTGAGCATTGGACAGATGGTAGAGAACTCATTTGTTTTGTTTTTCAACGACTTGGCATGCACAATATTTGATCCTTGTGGAGAATATCTTATGACCATTCCAATGAGAAATAAAAGTTTCTCTTTAGACTTGAAAGAAGTCTGTATGTAGGCTACACAGTCTGATAAGGATAAAGCTAATCTCTGGTATAAGAGACTTGCGCACTGCAACTACACTTCACTAGCCAAGTAGGTTCCTCTCACTTGCTTTAAAATTTGCCCAAGTTATTTAACAAAAGTGGAGTCTGCAATGTTTGTCAATTAGGAAAAAATATCCAGAAAGCCTTATCCTTATGCATCTAAAAACAGAACTAAGAACAAGCTTGAATTGATTCACTCAGATGTTGGGGGTCCTATAAGTGTTAAATCTTTGTTTGGAAGCAAATACTATTTGAT